AGAAATGAGACGAAAACATATTTGGCAGGAGTCGGAAAACTGATAGGGTTGATAAGGATTGTTAGAATGCAAATGCCACGGAAGTCATTGCGTGTGTCCCAGGAGCATTCGAGCGTTAGATCCCACATATGATGAAGGGGGTGAGACAGGAACATATTTGACGGGCGGCAGGACATGATAACAATTGATAAGGGCGCTAGAATGCGAAATTCATAGCGTGCGGTTCAGCAGTAGAGAGGCTCTGTTTTTCAAACGGATCTCATTCGGTGGGTGGCAGTAGGTGGGAACAGCTTATATGGGATGATAAGAGCATCTAACTCGAGAACGGAGAAGTCACTGAAGTTTTTATCTGGATGCTCGATAAAAAACGCATGCCATTTTTTTGCGATGCCTCATCAACGTCGTGATCCTTTAAAGCGCTAACCTACCCGAGCTTCTTGTAAGATGGTTGGTGTTTGTGAAAATATGATAAGTTTTGGTGTTTGCTATTTCGATGTAACCGGCATGAGGATTTACTTAACCGCTGAATCGTACTCGCAGCCGAAGAATGATAATGTTTGCGCTATGTTCAGGTAGTGAGCGTTCGAATAATCGTATTAGTAATCAGAGCTTACACGGCAGCTAGAGAATGTTGATTTCCGAAAAATGTTAGATTTTATTGGTTTCGACGAGCTGCGGGAAATGACCAGTACCTTCGTTAATAAAATCACTTATTTATCCACTAAAACCACAAAACCACAAAACCACAACCACAACTGTTTCCTAACGAAAGCCTGGCTAGCTCAGCTCTATTGAAGCTTACCTTGCTGCGCGGAAGCGAGCAAAACCAAACTAAGTTAACAGAAAGCGCAATCCAAACCTGAGCACGTTTAAATCGCGATAAATAACTCAGCAGTGTAACTACGATGTTAGCATATTTGTAACTTACCCTATACGGTGATATTTCGAAGTATAGGATTTAAACAAAAACCTCTTATTCATGTTATAACTGTGCAAGCAACAATCTTCTGAAAAAGCATGGACAACATCCGGAAGGCAATCTTTGGTGAAGGGCAAATCTCTATGAAAAGTGGAAGTTTGTGTTTTTGTGTTGAAGTTCTTCGATGTTCACCTCAATAGCACATGTGTCCGAAACAGGTACCATCTTCATATATAACTGTGCAGGCGAATCAGATTTGACACAGATATCAGTCGTTTAATCCAACTTCGTGTTCGCATTTTAGCTTCCCGGACCAAGCGACACCTCAGAATATTGAAGTCGTCCCTTTCTCACAGGAACTCTCACTTAAGAGTAGCGACAAGGTGTTTCCTTGAGCTGATTACTTACTCCCCTTATAAAGTGCTTCATTCTAGTACCGTGTTATCGTATTATCTTGAAGATTCCGTAATTTGAAAACAGTAACATATCGGTATGAACACGTTCAATGACGATAATTTTCATATCAAC